CCCCCCCCCCGAAATTTTGGGATTCAAACTTTTTAGTCTTTCTTCGAGCCTCTCAGTAAAAAGAAAAACAAAAACTGTCGAATCAAACCTTTTATTAACTAACTTTATTGAGCATATTTCGGGACATTCTGGTTTGTCCTAAAAAAGTAATCAAAAAAATTTTTTCAAATCCCCGTCGCTTGTCTTTGTAAACTTTGTTTACAAATTGATTATAATTATTATGTAATATTAATTGAAAAATAAGTATTATGTAATATTTTTTAATTACTAGTTTAACTTTTGAAACCAACGGAATAAACCATATTTGTTACAATGTTTTTCCCCTACTTTGCATGTCTGAAACTGTCATTGCTTCTTACCATTCCATATCCCCCCCCCCCAAAAAATATCCTGGCTACGGCCTTGATGCTACATAATGTTTAAAAAAAAGAAATCTGTTACAGTACGGAAAATTTCTGACAAAATTAGCAAACATTATGTTACGGGAAAAAAACAGGTTGACAGAAAATTCCTAAACATTACAGAAAGTAAAACACTAAAGAAAATATTTAATCGCGCAAGATATTTTCCACAGATCAGGGTACGGCGATGAATTTGGTATGAAGATAGCTGTATACCCTCTTTGTGAGTGAAAGAGATTTCTGTAATTTTGATTAGTTTTTTTAATTTTTGCTTGATTTTCGAGATTAAGACATCGAAAACCACTCTCTGAACATCATACAAGCCGGTCCTCCTCTGTCTCATTGTATTAAATTATTTGTTATGGTTTGATACCAAAGATTTTCGTATTCAAAGTTGAAATAATATTTATCTAACTGATACAATCTGTAACAATGGTTACAGATTTCATTTGTAAAAAAAAAAATCTTTTGACAGGTTGCTATGTAGTTTATTAGTAGACGTAGTGTTGTAGTAAATTTCGATAGTGTTGTAGTGCATTCTTTAAAGGTTGTAAATGTGTTGCTATTGTTTTTAATGCCACTTGCCAATACTAGCAAACCTGCTTGGGGAAACCAATCGAATTTAAGACAGAGGGTTCGGTTCTTGTTTTTCAGTGGCGAAATTTATGGACAAGAATACTATTTCAGCCACACAGACGTCACAACTCTTTTATAAAGCGGATCCATTCATGCATTCATTCATATGTTTATGCATACATCAACAGATCGTAGGACCAGGGAACTATCAATTTCCAATTCAGTACCCTCAGAGGTAGGATTTGTTATGGGAACATGGAGGACTTAGTGACCGAACAGATTTAAAGTACATCAGTCACTATTTTCTACATGGAGAATTTAAGGTCGGCGGGGATGAAACTCACGACCTCTTGGACATAGGCTCAATGCTCTACCAACCGGCTATTCGACTGCAAATGTATTAAACATATATTGGCTAACAAGTTCGTAAGAAAATGCTTTTATAAGTGAAGCCCATTATAAATATATGTAAATACTTTTTAATGAAATTTTTATTTCTACATCTTTAATTTATATTTTGTAATTTTTTTGAAAAGATTATCGAAGTCTCGCTAGGGAAATTTTATTTTTAAGGGACATATTTACAGAAATTATCAAATTAATATCTTGGACAATGATGATCATTCGTTTTCATTATTATACGACATTCTTGTACTAAAATTCGATTAATATTATCATTTGTTTTAAATATATTTATATT